CCCCAAAACCCCAAAACCCCAAAACCCCAAAACCCCTTTTTTATTTTCCAATGCTGATTCTGAAACTTATATTAATTTTATAAAATAAAATTAAAACAATGGCCACCATGGATGCGAAGAAGATTTTGGATAATCCAAAAATTACCTTTGTGCTAGGAAAAGATTCTGCCTTTAGGGCACAAATCTGTGAAAAGCTGGTTGAAGAGAATAAGTACACACTAATTTGCTCAGAAACGCTCCAGGAAATTGAACTTAAGAAATCTAAAAAGAAAATTAACGATGGGACTTTGGAGATCAATGCCTTGATCTCTAATCCATCTAAGAACTATCTCATGAACGGATTCCCTTGCACTGCAGATCAGGCAATCAACTTTGAACAGAATGTTAGTGAGTGCCAGACTGTTCTGTACTTCCAAGATAAGAATGAGGGAGAAGAAGAGAAAGTTGATCCTTCAACTGCAGCAATTCAGGAAGTCATAGAGAAATATCAACTTTTTGGAAAGGTGAGAGCTATCGATTCTAGTCAAGATTTTGATAAAGTGTATAAAGAAGCTCAGAAAGCTCTCCTTCCAGAAGTTTTCTTCCTAATTGGACAAAAAGCAGCTGGTAAAACAACCGTTGGATCTTCATTAGCAGAAAGGACAAATATGATTCTCATGCAGTTCAACGAATTTGTTGCAAAGCATAAGCTCAAGGGTGCTGACGATGAGACAATTACACTAGCCTTGATCAATATATTAAAGAATGAAGTATCTCCTAGAGTATTGATTGAGGATTTCCCTCAAAACTTAGTTCAGGCCAAATGTTTTATTAAAAATTGTATTGAGCCTTCAAAAGTATTCTACAGTAAATGCAGTAAAGACACTTGCCAAGAGAGAATGATCACCTTGGGGGAAGATCATAGCGATTATGTTTCATCTGCTATTCTATCAAAGAAGATCAAAAAGTTCCATGATGAGGCTCCTTCTCTTATCCCATTCCTTCAAGAAACAACTGAGTTCCATGAGATCAATTGTGATCAGGAGCTACAGTTTGTCCATCAGCAAGTAAGAGATATTATTGAGCCAACAGTTATCCATATCAGAGCTGGATCCAATAATGATTTAAAGAAACAAATGATCACAGAACTCGTTGAGAAGCATGGTTTCATAAATCTTGAAGTCAGCAGTCTCATTCGACTAGAAACAGAGAGGAGAACTCCTGTTGGAGAAGAGTTCTTACAAATTGTTCAACATGGAAAGATCATTCCAGCAGACATGATCGTCAGAATGCTCAGGAAGATCATCTATAGTGGTCAGAAGCAGAATAAATTTATCCTTAATGGGTTCCCAGATGTCATTGAGCAAGTGAATGAATTTGAAGCCAACTGTGCAAGGATTAGTGCAGTCTTCCTCACAAGTGAGGCTGACAAGAACGTTGTTGAGATCAAAAACAATAATCTAACACTTTTCAATATTGATGCCTTGTTTCAGAAAGAATTTAGACTCAAAATAACTGATAGCTGGGACTTTGGCAGATTCAACGAGATGCTTGGATGAAAGACAGATTATATCATTGTAACTGGAACTTGGTGCTCTGGTAAGACAACAGTCTGCAAATTCCTTGAGTCTACATATGGATACACTATTGTCAACTTAGAAGCAGCTAAAGAACGAGTGATGAAGAATCATGAAAATGATGAAGAGCCACCAGAGAGCCCTCCTCCAAATGAAGTAATTGAAGAATTAAAGGCAACTCTGGATGAACTAAAGCAAAATAAAGCTAAAATTGTATTCGATACATTTCCAGGAGCTACTCCAGAAGACTTCGATGCAATTCTTGATCATCTCGGAACTCCAGATTATATCATGAACATCGATGCAGACATTGAAGAAAGGAAAAAGAGATATCTGGTCAAAACTGAAGCTGAAGAATGGGGAGAAGGTCAAGATGAAGAAACATCTAAACTAGAAAACAACACTGAAGCTTTGGTTGCTCATGCTAAAGCAAAATATGAAGGAGTATCAGAAGATAGATTTAGAATTCTTGATTTTCAACTCTCTCCTGACAATATGCAAAGCCAAATCAATGATGAGATGTCTCCTAAGGTGATCTTAGTGCATCATGACAAGAGGCTATCTTCTGACACAACATGTGCTAATCTTGCTATTAAATACAACCTAATTTACATCAGTGTTTATCAGTTAATCAGGAAGCATATTGAAGAAAAGACTGATTTAGGTTTGCAACTCCTCGCTACTAAGAAGCCAAGGGAGATTAAGATCAACTCGCAGACTAGGGATGAATTTGAGGAGGCTACTTACAGTGCTGTACACTTCGACCAGACATTGGTATTGAAATTAGTCAAGCAATCAGTCAATGAAACTTTGACCAACCAGAAGTATATCCTTTTGGAAGGAATGTGCAATACCAACATCCTTTCAAACCAGGAAGATATGCTAGAACTTACTCCAATGAATGAGCTGATTGATATTGAGAGAGAATTAGGAGAAATTGTTGCTGTCTCAAGCCTTAGATTCACTCAAGAGTCAACTGAGGAGGAAGAAGTTGAGTATGAAAACTTCCCAGAACCACCTCCAGTAGAAGAGGTCAAGAAAGAAGGAGAGGGAGAAGGAGATGCTCCTGAACCCGAGCCTGAACAAGATGAAGGTGAAGGAGATAATAAAAAGGAAGAGTTTAAGGTTGAGGATTATCAATGGACAATTACTAATAAGAAACCAAAGAATCTAGTTCAAGTTTATCTGCAATTGAAAGGGAAAGATGCAGTTCATGAAATCAAGAATGCAGAGGAATATTCTAGCTCACAGTACGAATCAATTAGTAAATCCCTTGATGAGTTCATCACAAGGGTTGTAGGAGGAGATCTCAAAGGCAAGAACCCTATAATCCAAGTTGTTTTTATGGAATAAGCTCTCAATTTAGCTTCCCAATATTGGGGTTTTGGGGTTTTGGGGTTTTGGGGTTTTGGGGTTTTGGGG